TACTTAAAAATGATTAATAGACAGAGCAATATAATAATCTATATATATAATTACTAGCTAATAGCATTTAAGAAAACCTATTTAATAAAACCTCTAAAATTTTTCCTCCATTTTCGGTTACAAAATTTATCATTAATGTTTTTTACTTCTCACATTAATACATCCTATTGAGTGTAATTGTGTATTTTTCTATTATATTATATAATAATTAATGCTAATACCAACTAATAATAATTCACAATAAATATAAATTGCATAATTATAAACAATTGCTTCAAGTTATTTATTTTAACATCAATATTATCTTTTTCTTTTGTATCTCATGAAAAAATTTCTTTAAAAACAATAAGTAAATTGTTTTAATAGCATAGTCAAACAACTTTAGAATATTATAAACAATTAGTTTTGTAATAATAATAATAATAATCAAACTGTTGTTATCTAATGATAATTAACAATTATTCATAATAATAAACCATCATTAATTTATTTTTCTAATGATTAAATTTTAAAAATATAATATATTCATTATCTAAAATTTTAATATTGAATTCTCAAATATTACTTATTATATTTTACGTACATTTGTGCGTGTGCACAAGATATTTACTAGTTAGTAATAATTATAGAGTGTAGGTATAAATTGAATATGTTTATTATATATCTATATCTATATATCTATAGTAATATAAAGAGGTTGTTGGAAAAATATTTTTATAGTAAGCTTGACTAAAAAAATAAATGGTTTGACTTACTATTAGTGGAAATTTCAGAAAAACACATATAAATCTTTAAGAATCAAATTTAATTGAGATATCCTATAAAAATTGGAGATTCTTATGGTAACAAATTTGGAGAATTTTATATCCCATAGGAATCTATTTTTATTGATAACAAATTTGAATATTCTTATGCCAAAAATTTGAGATTTTGAATTGATATATCCCAACAATTATGGATATTTTTTCATTCAAATTAATATTGTAAATCAAAAAAAATTATTGCGAGAATAATTGATAATATACTGAATATTGATAAACTCCAATCCTCCATAAATTATTAATATTTATGAATTTGTGTGTAAATAACTAAATATATTGAATTGTTTTTCGTAAATCTATTACTATATAATAGAGAGAGAGAGATTTACTTGACATAATATTGAAATTTTTGCTTAAAATTTTCAAAGTTACTATTCTTAGTAATATTTTTTTTAGAAATGGCGGCTAAATGAAAATTCGAATTCAATTTTAATTTTTTTTTTTATTTGAGAAAGATATTATGTAAACCTTAATTCTTAAAAACATGGTCATAATATTGATCATTGAGATTTGTTACCATAATTGTAGGAAAATCAAAGGAGTATCTTCTTTAATTTCATCCATAATATTATTGGTAGAGATAATATAGGAAATATATTACATATATAATAATAATAATAATAATAATAATAATAATAATAATATCTATATGAATATCGATAATTTCCATATGATTTTTGATATATTATACTAAACATATTGGATTTGATTTTGATTAAGAAATAATTAATCTAATTTTTTTTTCATTAAGTGACAACCTGTAAAGAAAAATTTAAAACCAAGTAAATATTTTTACATCATAAACTTATTATTACATAATAAATTTGATATGCGTAATGTCATTTTTTATGTAATATGCTTAATATCTATTTGTGGGATGTGCATATTAAATTTTTAATGTATATGAGAATTAATTTATCGTTATTGATAGCATATATAATTAATTACGGTAAAAATTTTTAGATAATTTTTGTTTTAAATTTTAAATTGCAATTCATAATTGTGATTTTTAAAAAAAAAAAAATCCCGCCTATACAATCAATGAAACAAAATTTACCAAAAATTACACGGGTGTTCATATTTATTTACCTTCAACGTCTTATTACAGTTCGGAAAGAATCCAAATTACAGTTTGGAAAGAATCTAAATTTATAGGAACTATATAAATTATTCTTTACATAAAATATTTGAAAACCCCGACTTAAATTGATTTTTTCAAAAAATACATGAAAACACCACATTTTTATAATTTAGATTTTTCCATTATTTTGTGTACATTACCAATTATAAATTATTATTTTATTTAAAATAAATCCAACAAAATATTTTAAGGATATCTTTTATCATAAATTTCAATACTTTAATCTGTTCAAGCACAAGTTTACAAATGTTGGTCTTTGAATCCGGTGAAACTTCACCGGCCGGGGGCAATGAATAAAGACAAAGAGCTATGCTATAATCAGATTGGAAATCGTTTTGTAATTGACCTTCTTCCTTCGCCAGCGGGTGGATCGACTCAATCAATGAGAACCACCCAAAACCTTTCTTTCAGTCGAGCAGCTCCACTTAAAAATTGATATGCCAACCATCCAGTAAGGCGATCTCGCTTTCCATAATCTTTGGTGCAGTCATACTCTTTTCTCATCCGTCCAGTTCAGTTTTGGAAAGTATTGGCGAAGTTCAGTCATAGAAGATAGTCAATCTCTTATACAAGTCTCACTTCGCTCTCCTCGGTTGATTGAAAAGTTGTTTAGAAAAATTCCATCATAAAATTCACCGATAATACTATCTAATTACTCATGTTTTTTTTTTAGGATTGATACATATTATATTGGAAAAATTCATGCTATACAATCTTGTGAAATTTGTTAAATTTTTCATACCTTCTTACAGTTTGGAAAGCATAAAATTTATGTGGACTTTTTAAATCATTTTGTCAAATAAAGTTTGGAAAATTTTGACTACATAATATATTGTATAAAATTTTAAACAAATGTTTTAAGAAATAAGCCCGCCGTGCATCGCACGGGATATTCACTAGTATATATAAAGAGATTGTTGGAAAAATATATTAATAGAAAGTTTGACCAAATAAATATAATGTTTGACTTACTATTAATGGAAAGTTCCAAAAAACACATATGAATCTTTAGTAACAAAATCTAAATCCTATATTTTTGTAACAAATTTGGAGATTCTAATGGCAAAATTTGAATCCCATTTTTTTCGTATCATATTTTAATTTTTTTACCAAAATTTAAATCATATCTTTTTTGGTAACAAATTTGGAGATTCTTATGCAAAAAATGTGTCAATTATTTATGAAAATAATTCTAAATACAAATTTATTTAAAAACCGTGCAAATTGGATATAAATTTACGAAGCAAATAGTTGTATAATTATTAACCAATTCTTCCAATCTTATTGAATAATTTTTTCTTTCAAAAAAATTGTGTAAATTGGATAAAGTCACGTACAATTTTTATTTTGAAAATAAAACTGATATTTGGACGGGATGTACATTCAAATTTTGTCCACATTTTTCGGTAACAAAAGCGGTTCATCATTGATATTTAAATTTACCTTATCCAATTATTTAGGAAAAATTGTGTGCAACTTTTCAAAATTTAAATGCATCGATTTTTTTGGATTCTTATGTTTTTTTTAACCATGTTTTACCGAGATATTGGTAAGTTCATATTATTTTTATTTTCTTTTCATATTATTTTTCTTTAGGAAACAGACAGTTGCATAAACATTAACAATTTATTTTAATTTTTTATTAGAATTATTTTCAATTCAATTTGTTTGGTACAAAAATCGGTGCAATGTTAGGAAATTTCGGTTGCATTTTTAGGAAAAATTGATGATTTTTTTTTTTTGGTTTAAAAAAAAATCAGATCAATTTATTTGATAAAAAAATCAGTTTATTGGTAGAAAAATCGGTTTCATTTCCAAGAGTAACCAATGATTCTTTTCAATTTTTTCTTAATTGAAATTTAGAATTAGATTTAAAATAAATAATGGGTGAAAATCCCTAAAAAAATCTACTTTTTTTTCTACTTTAATTTTGTTTAATAAATAAGATCCTTTAATTTTTTTAAAATTTGTTAACTAATAACAATAATATTAGATAAATTCGAACACCTATGTAGTACTTTACGTGCCAAAGAATCAAATCAATAATATTGTACATAAAGAAGTGTTTAATAACATATAAATTTTATTTTCATAAAATTTTTAATGGCATGGCACAATTTAAATATAAAAATAACTTTTAAAAAATAAATATGCAATAAATGCTCCCGTGCATCGCACAGGTACCGTACTAGTTTATGTAGTAAAGGATAAAAAAATTGATAAAATGCTTATAATATGTATATATACATAGTAAAAAACTAAAAGTTTGGGGAGGGACAATAATCCCCCTATACAGCATTTGGACGATAGCCACTGTCAGTCTGGATATAAGTGTTCGATTAAAAAAATCGAAAATCGATTACAAATCCCAACGGAATGGTTCCGTAACGGGATTGTAGCCTTTTCCTAAACTTAAAAGCCCAATAGAATGCTATCTTATCTACACGCACTAATCTACACACAAATCTAGTTTTTGTATGTTGGACAAATCAAATAGATTTGGTTTGGTTTGACCGATTGAACACCCTAGCGAGTATTATTTGGTATTGGACACATCATGGCACAAACTACAGCCACGTGTCCTATTTGCTCATTCGCTGATTGTTTGTACACCTAGGAACGTCGTGTGTGCGTGCTTACGTGGAGTTGCATGTGTGCGCGTGCAGAGTGCGTGTGCGTATGTGTGAAATTGTGTGCTCTCATGACAACATGGGTGTCTTGTGTTTAATATGTTTATTTATCGCTAATTTGAAAAAACAAAACTCAAAAGGAATCAAGGAAAACCAATAGTCGTCAATACGCAACACAAACACAAAAAACATGGCCAAATATTTTATCTCCCATAAGTAGGGTCAATAAATTCATTTATATTTTACATAGGTTGTCTCTCAGAATTTGAAATCCCTATTTTCTGATTTTATCTTTCATTCTTTCTTCCTTCTTCACCATATCCCATTCTTGGAAAAACCCAAAACCATATTTTTTTCAACACTATTCCTAACATCATCTTCCCCTATAAATCGCCATTTTTTTNGAAGATGGCGGCGATTGGGATTCACTCCTCAGGAGCTAATTTATCAAACCCATCTTTCTTCCCGGGAAACAAATCGGGTCGGAGTTTTTCCTCAAAGACTCCATTTTTATCCTCCCCCAACAGTACCAAAAAGAGCCCACGAATTCCACTCGCCTCGTCGAGCTCAACCCTTTCCCCGCTTCACGATTCTGAAGCCAAAGAAGGGGTTTTTCTGGAAAAGATCGATTCTTGGCTGCGTGGATCTGTTTCTGAAATCGTGGGAAACCTAAAAAAGGCGCCTTTATTGGTGCAAGTTTATTCAGAAAAAGAAAATGGGAAGGTGAGGATCCAAACTGAGAAGGCCCATTTGGATTATTGGGCTGTTTTGAAGGGGGAGTGGATAAATGAGGAGTCAAAATCACCTGATGGGCTGATCTTTGTGGAGGAGTTGGGGCAAGATTATGATCAAGAGGATTTGGGTCAAGAATTTGGGGAGGGTGTGAGTAGGATTTGGGGCATAGTGATTCAAGGGAAAGGGGTTAAGTGTAGCCCAGCTTGTTATTTGCTTAAGACCAATAGGGTGTGTGCTGGGATGGGTTTGGGCTTCTGCACCTACTATTGTTTGATCAGAGTGAATAATTTGAGGGATGGTGCTTTTGAACAGTTTAAGGATTCTTGGTTGTTGCATTGAAGGGATTTGAGTTGGGTTGGGGCAGTCGATTTTTTTCCCATTGTTATTGTTTCGAAAAGATGTTGTAAAATTACTTGTGTAGCTGATGGATGATCGAAATTGATTCATATGTAATGAAGGTTACTTGTGCAGATTCTGGGGTTGCTTTTCTTGAGTTTTGCATTATTTGCTGAGAATGTTACTTATTTATTGTTGTTCTTTGGGGTGATTGGTCTGTGACTCTGTGGTGGTTCCTTTGATTCTTTTGAGATTTGTTTGGGAAAAAATTGAGTCTTTGTTTGGCATATGATGTTCTGCTGAGTTTATCATATGATGGATCATATCTATGCTCTAACAGAAAGCCTCTGTTATGTTCATTATGTTATTTTTTGTTTCAATTTTATCATATTGTGTTTCAATTCGAAGATGATTTGCTGTCAAACCTTTTTATCTTTTTTTATTGGAAATGCTTGGGTGGAGTTCTTGGAGCTATCAATTTTGACCCTTTGAAGATTCCCAGTCAATTGTGTCATGATCATAATTCATAATGTTAAATTGTTCTGACTTCTCCTTCTGCATTATGAATAATGAATGGATTTCTTTATAGGTTAATATTAGGTCATGAAGTTCTATACATGGTCTATACCGAAGGTCATTGTGCAATTTTCCCCTATAATTGCTCATCGTGTTCAAGTTGTATATGAGCTCAATGTGAAGCTTATGAAGGTTAAGGGCTTTATGTCAGCACTGATCATATATTATTTTTGTTAGTTATACAACATGAGTCTCGTGAGATTGACTCGGCTCATTAAAGCTCGCAAACAAGGGATTTTATGTAATTTTTTATAGTTCGACTAATTAAGGCGCGAGTTCGGTTAGACTCGAGGTCAGCTTGTGAGTTTTCATTTTCTCTAAATTTGTGAGGTTATTATATCATATATTTATTTTAAATTGAAGAGAGATATATTTCATGATAAAAATCACAAAAATAGGATTTTGTTGTCAATCATTTTTCACCCCACTGCTAAAGTTCAAATGTCTCTTCATGATATTTTCTTTGCACTTATGAAAAACTTTATACCAGGGCAATAGTAATTTACTTCAAGATTAATTCGGTCATCCTCCTTAAAATTGGGACGATGTATGGGAGATTGGATCATTACTAACCGCACTCACATAACTTTTATTACATATCAATTTTCTATTTTTATATCAAATTATCTTTAATCATTATATTTTAAATATTATTTTCATATAAATTTTAAATTCAACAAATCCTATCAAAACCAAAATAACTAGATGTGCGAGATCCTAAACTGCAAATACACATAATAGCTGGCGCGACAAGTGCCGTTTGGTCCCCTTTCAGCCTTTCTCCTCCATTTTCCATTTGAATTTGAAAACTTGAAACACACATGACACACCAAAACAGAAAAGGAATAAATTAAAATAAATAAATAAATAAAGCGCCTCTCAAGCAGTCAGCGCGCTCCTTTCTGCAATTCAAATCCATTTAACTTCACATCGTTCACATCTCACTCACAGAAATCAAAATTATTTTCTCAAAATGACCAAAATTTACAAACTTTAATCAACAATCTCCAATCTTTTGTGGTGGGGCTTATCCTTTTTCGTCAATCTTCTGTTCTTGTTTCCTCGACTAAAGCTTTCGTTTTTCGAATTTGATTTGCGGGTTTCGCTCAGAGACAAGGCTCGGTCATTAGATTGTTGGGGAGGAAAAGAGCAAGTAAGAAAAATGGGCTGCGAGAGTTCGGACCAAAGCCAGTCTTTACCCGGACACAGATCTGAATCAAAGGTTCGATTTTTAGAATACTCTGTTTGTTTATCTATCTACGCTTTCTTTGTGTGTGATGGGTTGTTTTTGTGGGTTTTGAATTTGGTAGGTTGTGGGTGGACAGAAAAGGGCCATTGCTGAAGTTGAAGAAACTTCAAATAGTTGTCACAAAAGAACGAAAATGCGTGACCTTGAATCTGTTTTTCCCTCTGAAGGTACTTTCTGTGTATGTGTGTAAAATCCTAACTCGACTGTTTCATTTGATATGTCACTGTTCACATTTCCTATGAGTCTAACACTAGTCAAAGCTGAAATGGTTATAGTATAAGGCAAGTGATTTCGGTAAAGATTGCAAGATGGCCGGTGAAATTTTATGCGCTAAATTTGATTTTTTGTAGAGTCTCCAAATGTTCCACCTTTTGGATATATAGAGAATTTGCTTTGTATGAATAATTTTCTACAGTGTATGTAGGGGGTTACTGGTTACAGCATACAAATGAGATGAACTCTTCCTGTTTGGTAGTTGATTGGAAACTAGGCTAAATTCTAAAAGCAATTTGAAATCATTTTTCGTTTATTATTGTCCGATGCTCGTTTCAAATGATTCGAGAACTCGAATGTCTATTTTAATGCAGCCCAAGCAGTAAAGGGAGGAAGCTCGAATTCAAGAGAGCTCGATCTTAACCTTAACGTTAGTTCTGTAAATTTTGCTACTACCAATGTCAATCCAAAGACGAGATCTTTCCATTTAGACCTTAATAATACTGACGACATCTCGAACTCGGCCAGCGATCCCTTCTTTCCTTACAACAAAACCCACCAAAACTCAAACTCGATGAGAATTTGGAAAGGGCTGAAACAAAACAATTACATGTCTCCCTATCACAATGTCGTGCCAGCTTCATTACCGAAGCCTCGGGGGAAAAAGAAACTCAATAATAATGAAGTGATGAAGAAAAAGATCGAGCAGGCAAAAAAGGAGCAGGTGGATAGGTTTGCACGGGTAGCTGCTCCAAGTGGTTTGCTTAACGGTCTTAATCCGGGGATTATTAATCATGTGAGGAATAGCAAGCAGGTTCATTCTATCATAGAAGCTCTGGTGAGGTCAGAAAAAAGGGGAAATAGGCAGATGAATGATTATTATGGCTTGTTTACGAATATGGGTTTTCAAGAGAGTGAGGTATTATTAGGAAGAGATAGGGATTATTCATTTGGGAGGACTTTCACGCCTTCTCAAAATGAGGACGATAAACTAAAGATAAGGCTTTCATCATCTGTGGCGGTTGCTTCAGAGAACACCAGTTGCCTGTCGAATGACGAGTCAGCAAATCTTGGCAGTGTTAATTCTCTTTCTTATAAAGGTTGTTTATTTTTTATTTCATTTATTTATTAGCTATGGTTTAATTTCAGAGGAATATCAGCACTTCCTTTGAAAATGTTACACAAGTGATGATTTTTTCGTCTTCATGGGGTTGATTATTTATTTTTTTGGATTTGTTTAATTTTCAGCGGCTAATGTAGCTTCTCAATGGCTGGAAGTTCTAAATCAAGATATTAAGGGACGTGTTGCGGGTAAAATTTTATCTTTACTCGCATAATATACTCTACTGCTGAATAATAATTACAACATTGTAATAATTGTAATTATAATAAAATGTGGTGTATTAATTTGCAGCACTAAGACGGAGTAAGAGAAGAGTTCGTGCAGTGATAGCCACCGAATTACCCCTCCTATTGTCAAGAGAGTTTTCACACAACATTCCCCATTTTGACCAAGCAATCGTTGATGCACACTCGTTTAGATGGCGCTCAATTTTCGAGCAGATGGAGAATACACTTGCTGAAGAAGAGAACCAGCTGGTGAGAGAATTGATGGCTGGTTTTTCAACTTTTGT